GAGGGTTGAGAACTATCAAATCATTTTTACAAGAGATAGAGCTGATCCAAAAAATCAAATCATTGTTTATTGAACAGAAATTCAAATAACAGTATTTTTTATTGGATTTGGAAATTTGGAAAAAATATTTACTTACCTTAAATCTTAAAATTTGGCCTTTTTATATCTATCCCTGTCATGGACAGCCTTTTATTTTTCTGTTTCTAGTGCTATTGAATTTGGTGTTAATTTTTTTACAAAGATTTTAAACGACCAGGCTATGTAAAACACAGGCACTGCTTTCAATTTTGTGCTCAAATTTTGTCCCTGAGACTATTGATAACACTGGAAATTTTGTTTACTGGTTCAGAGAGTGTTATCTTACTGTACTTTTTAATCCCACAAGTATTTCAGTTTCTATTAAAAGAAACCCTACAGTTGTCAATCTCTTTTCAGGAAACTTTTTCTTTGTAGATCTGAATAAATTTAATGGAAAGGGGTTTATTTTAACCACTTGCTGCTGGGGAATCCTGTTTTGAGCACCATGGGTTTATACACAGAGCCGGGGTGCCCGAAATGGGACAAAAGAGATAGGCCTTGTAACAAAAGACAGTACTCAGAAAAAAAAATGATCTGCTGGGAATTTCAAACATTTTTTCAGTTGTCAACAGTGGAGGAAATCCATCACTGTTTTTAAACAGTATACCACCATTTGTGGCATTTGGGAACCAGGGACAAAGTGCTCCAGTGCTCCACAGATGAACAATACAATACCACTGCACGCTAATCTGGCCTGTATTGAAAAGACGTCAGCAGTGCACTGTACTGGTTTAGATTAGAGTAGCCACCAGACAGTCATTAATGTGTGTAAACATCCAGTAAATGAAGTTATGAATTTTAAAATAATTTTGAAAACAGAAAAAAAAAGACCCTGACCAGCAGAATAAACATGGATAAATGGGTCCGGTGTGAAGTGGTTAAAAAGTAAAGGGGTTGGAGAATAAGGCCAAAAAAAAAATCTGGTTTCTGGTCTGACGTGCGTCATCCTAGACCTGCGCGTCAGCAAAATAAAGAATTTTTTTATTTTGCATAAAACAATTTCCAAAAGCCGCTAAACTTACTTGATCAGCAGGAATTCTGCTACCGTGTAATTTTAACACATTTTAATGGGTGAGATTGAGTAGTATGTACAGTGAAGGAATCCCCCTAGGACTCCATACATTTCAGTTGGGCATTCTTATCAGATGACGTCATCCCTGTATCTTTACATAAAGGCCATGTCTGAATCAGTTGGCTGCGGCCTGATATAATGCGTGATCCTGTTGGAACTGGCCGTGAATACTGCCAAATACTCAGTGTAATTTCCGGCCGTAGCCAATTGATTCAGACCCGGGCCCACATCTGTGAATCAGACAAACGAAGTGGTATTACGTCCTGCTTACATATACAAATTGAAATGCTTTCAAGCAACAAACCGTAAAGTTTGCATCGCATGATGCAATGATAACTTCAAGTGTTTATGAGTTTCTTAAAACAGAAAATTAATCATTTGTGATAATTAAAACAAACTTAAATATAACTTTTTATGAACCCCCTAATCAAATAACTTTCCTGCAGCAAAACATTTCCAGTGTTACCCCTCGTCCTGTGGGGAAAGTGCTCAAATTTGTAAGCAATGCTTGTGTTTTATGAAGCCTGGTAAGTTATGGTAAATGTTTATAAAGAAATGATCAACAAAAAAATAGAGCCAAACAACAGATCAAATGACATTTTAACACTCACAATTATTTTAACAGCCAACTTAAAGGATTTCTGGTTAAGATCTCTAAACATTTTTCTTTAATTTCCCAAACTAACCAAAGAATAATACAACATGAGTTTCTGTTCAATAAGCAATTATTTGATTTTTAGATCAGCCCCTAATCTTATGTAAAAAGATTTTGACATTTCTCACATCCTCTGCAATGTCCGGGCCAGCAATGATACAGCACAAGACAATCCTAAATGGCCTGCAGTGGAGACCGCCGTACTTACCAGTAATCGAGAGCTATCAAATGGGCAAAAAGTTGTGGTTGTGAATTTCGCTTTAGTGTTGCTATTGACCGGTCATCAGACAAACGGCACTGCTAGAAAGAGAGAAGAAACTTCCCTCACACATGGCCAGTGGTTTCCATTGCCGACAGTGGAAATGGAATATCTCGAGTTTTTTTGGACACACTGCCACTGCAACAGTCACACTTTCAATGAGAAAAAGTAAGCAAGGAAAATAAATACGGCCCAGTTTGGTCAAAATAGACTAAATAAAGGTCCGTAGGGAATCAGATCCATAGCCTCTGGGATTTTTCTTTTGCGTCTGCATTTGCGTTCTTTAAAACATTAAGCTTACTTTTTAAGGCATATTCACAATAGTTATCATGCCGAATCAATTCCAACACTGGGCATTATCATGTGATCTGTCAAGGTGTGACATTCATGTATCATTGCTGAATTCTTTCAAGGTCAATGTATGTTTAAACGTTACGCATCCTTTGCGGTTTTTAGATTTAATGTTTGTGCATTGTTCGCAGAGGGATCCAGTGTTTCGCAAACTGTGCTTTGGCATTTCTCTGTAACGGCGGTGGTCAATCTTCACGAATCAGCTATTACCTTCGAGAAAGGAAGAACTCCCCAGACAAATATTTTTAAAATTGCACACAATTTGCAAAGAATTACGAAAAGGTCCCATATTTCTGAGCGGTATGGATAGCATGATATATTTTCATGTCTCTGTTTGGATTCTTGTGCCAACCAGAATGCATCCATATTTGGTTATCTCTATTAAAATTTTGACTTAAACATTTGAAATAAATTAGTCTTTTCAAATTTGCTTGAATTCTCCATGGCTTTCATTATTTCTATATTTTCATGACTTTTTACGGTCTGGAGATGGAAAATCAAATTTGATGGCAGGAAACCCTGCACTATACCATGGAGGAAGGTTATGGCATGTTCTTCATAAAATGGACTAAAATACAACCCCGCATGTCATTTTTCAAAACTTCTAGAAGATTGACTTTGATCATGTAAAATACAAATTAGCACCTTCAGATTTATAAAAATTATTGTTTGGGGATAATTAGACAAACTGTGTACATTTGGTTGGCTACCAGTGCAAATCAAATGGAGCTGAATTCATTTAAAGTTTTACGTCAAAGTGTTTGCACAAGAGGACTTGATTTCAAAACTTTTATCAACAACAGGGAGAATTCAGTTTATTTTTCAACTGATGTATTTTAAGCACCTAAGAAATAACTTGTAAAAAATATAAGCCACGGGAAAAAGAGCACACAATTGATGGAAAATGGTGAGAGAAGTTTGGCTCTCTTCATTCTTTTACTGTTTTTAATTACTTTCGCTAAATCTGCATATCTGCCAGGTGTTATATCTTTCAAGTTTGGCTGCATCAGAAATGTATAATGAGAACACTATGTTCGTTGCAAACGTCATATTTGACAGAATTTTGATGACGTTCGAGAATTTTGACAGAAACTGCATGACGCTCGACAATACTGAAATGACCGTCACGTGCAGTACTTCAACATTCCATGTGCGATGTTCATTTTATCGCTTATTTGGGAGTTATCCCCACTGAAAATTAAATCAAAATTAACATGATAAACAACTCTGAGCATTAGATTTTCTTCATGAATCATATTTCATGTCTCGGACGTCTTTTTTTGTGAACGTCATTCAGTATGACAGATTTTCTTTTGAGAAATCTTGGTACGAAGAGAAAAATCCATTCCATGGAGAGGTTCATGAATATCGAATGAAAAAGAGGGAAAACTTTCTGGGTAGATTTCAAAGGTCAAACAGCCCACGATGCAACAAAATGTTTCCCCAACGTCACCATGAGATATTGACAGACGTCACAAAATCGCCATGATCGGTATTTTGGACTGCGGTTTTCAGAAACGTACTTGAAGAAATGTGATCAGTCCAGATGTGATGATGGTTTGGGGGTGCTTTTTTGCACTTTTTTAAAGCTTGTTTTGTACATCGATTTTGAATTTACTCGCTGGTTTTTTGCAATCCAGTTTTTGACAATCAAATGACGTTTGCGACTGCCGACTTCAAGACCTGATTATTTGTGAGATATTTTTTTCACTTTGCAACTATGGTTTTAATATGTGTAAATATTATCACCTTTCACCACATACAAATCTGTGTAAAATAATTGTGGGAATTATTACTTCCCGGTGACTTTTACTTGGCTAAGATTTCAACAGGTTGTTCACGTCTGTCAAAAATGCTGACATTTGAGACTTTAATTAATCAATTCTGATTAAGTTGAAAGATGGGAACGGTCATCACTGTTCCAGATATCAGCCATGACTTCCCTCATTTTATCAGATATCGGGAATTAATTTCCTGCTGTTCACTTAAGGAAAAATGAACCCCCAAAGTTGAACATTATCTAATGGTCCATATTTTGAGGAATCTGCCTAATACAAAGATTTCATGATCCACACAAAAGCTACATGTACATTTGTTTAATTTGCATCATTTTTGCAGTGCTATCATGAACTTTTCACACCTTTTTTTACCATGTTTCCACCCCATTTTTGCACAGTATTCACACAGTGATTTTTTTTGCACTCTTTTGAAAGTGTTTCATGCCCTCTTTACAAAACTTTTGCATGTTTTGCACCACTTTTTCCTTCTTCACATCTAATTTGCTGCGAATTTGCAAGTAGGAATAGCAATATGCAAAATGTGACTGCAAACATGAATTCCTTTCCCTGAACTAAGACAATAGTGGCAGAAAACAAACAGGAATCTCCCACCTACCGGTAGCTCTTTAGGGTTAACACTGCCACAACTACATAGATTATTCTTTCTGACATAGAAATTACATGTGCCAGAAAATAAAATGGAAAGCTTTTATTTATGCCAAGCCTCCAATTATGTGTATACCGGTCCATGTAAACTACAGGACATAATAATATCCAATATTTTCAACTTAATCTATGTACATGTACCTGTATGTCAGCTTCTGCGTCTTGACATTGACATTCTTGAGGATGATATTCTTTGTGTATTCTCCGCCTGGCTCCCATCCTCTCCATGTCAGACCTTTGACCACCTCAATTCCATAACGCTTAACTTTGCTTTTGTTGCCTTGTTGATCAAATTGGAGAGTACAACTCTTGAGATGGCTTTTGCCAGGGAGGTGCTGACGGCTAGTGGCAGGCATTTTAGACCTCATGTTGAACTTCTACACACAGAATTATCCTGAATAAAACAGAAAACAATGGGTCACATAATGTACAGCACTTGATTTGCGAAGGAGCTGGTAAACTTCCAGGTCATTTTAATAATTAATAATGATGCTGAAAAAATGTCAAATTTTGTACCACTGCACCACAGGATTGGGTTGTCCATGCCAGTGCTGATACTCGCAGGCGCTACGGTGTATGTGCGCCCCATGCATACAGCAGCGGTCGTGTGTTACGGTATGCACATTGGCCGTTCACATGTGCACCATACCAGCAATGAAATCAAGATGCAAACAAGCGAGGGGAATTCACTGTGAACTGTGAATCCACTTAGATGCCTTGAGACAAGGCTGGTACCACATGTCAAAATGATCAAACCATGGCAGCAAAAAGGAAGACTAATAATATACTTCTTGAATTAAACAAAACCTAGTAAGCTTGGTGTACCATTCATGTAGCTGAATAGGCCCTTGGACCAGCAACAGGTACAATGTAAATTTGACTGGCTCACGTAACTTTTGCGCCGGCTACTTTTTTCCCAGTCATTAGTTTGTTTTTCGTAAAGAATCATTTTTGTTTGTTCACAAAAAATGCTAGTCTGTGGATTGTAATTTTATTGGGCCTAGCTTCGTGAAGAACAAAGGGCCTACACAGCTCACTGACTGGACCACCAATAACATACAGACCCTACATGTGGGTTATGCGGCCCAACTCCCAGTACCAGTTTATGGCACATGTTGTACCGTGTGGTCATATCAGGGCAAGCTCATACTCATGCATGTACAGTACGTGACATATCTATGATGAAGGAATCTGTATGAAGCCCTAAGAGTTACATAGACCTAGAAAAAATAGTTCTGCTGCCGATTACAACCCTCTCAAAAATAGGGTCAGTAGGTCAGAAAAAAAAACATGTGGGAGAGCAGTTTTTGTGCTGATTAAATGAGAATGAAAGCTACCAAAAACTGCCACAAAACGTGATAAAAACTAGCAATAATTAATATAAAAATATCTACAGTTAACTAGTCTTAAGAATTATGAACAACGTCAGTCAGGTAATCACGATGGAAAATTGGCTAACAATTCCCTATATCACATGGTACATGTATGTGTGCATGATGCATCTAGAAGGACGAGCGATAAATCTCGTGTGGCAGCAGGCAATTTTGTCGAAACATGCTAGCTTGAATTAAGAGCAATACAACCTCAAACTAAATTCATGAAAACTTACGATACATGTACATGGACAAGACATTAACTTCTGCGAATTACCAGTAACTTGACAAAATCTTCTCACAACATCGAAAACGTTTTCTGTTCAAAACAGACTGCTTAACGTGCAAAGGCAAAGCGCTTAACTAATTTAACATCTAGGATTTTGGAGGTACAGTAGATTGGCCACCCAAAAACCAATGTAATGTACCATAAAATTATCTGCGGAATGTCAACACAACACAAATAAGAGGCTATTGCTTTCCACAACCAACTGGGCCAATGTCAGAAATACATGAGGTCAAATTTTGTGTTTACATTGGGTTGATGATGTAATGGGGAGAAATGCAGAACAGGCATGCATTCAGCATGCATGAAGATACATGTACACACATGTAACTGGTATCGTTGTGGCCCAAATACATGTATATTATTAAAACAAGGAGTTTTAATGACATGCAGAAAATGCACATTATACATTTACGTGTATGTCTTAGATGTATAAACTTTACCTTACTCTTAGCTGGTCAGAATAATTGAGATTTGTTCTGAAATAAAGGAGAACATGACATTGAAGGTGGAGAGGAACATAAATTTGCATGACATACACTGTACATGTGAGAGTGCACTCCTGTTCATGTGCAGTAGCAACAGACTATTCCTATGCCACAGAGAACAATGCACCCAACCAGTACTGAAGTACCCAGACCTGAATCTTGGGCTGAATCGCGGGACACCTTGTACATGTGTGTGTGTAGTTTTCAGTAACTCCTCTTCAGTCTGAAGTGAATAAAGCTATGTCAAGAGTTGAAGCCACCCTTAATTGACTGCATTTTTTAAAGGGTAGGATCACAGTTTGGGTCTGCCTTCTTTCACCATGTTCACTCGAGCATGGGCAGAGAATAATAGCTGAAATGCAGGCTAAGGATCTCAATTTTTACGGTGTGTCTAGCTGCATCCTGGCGCGAAGGGGTTAAGGAACACCGCAGCCAATAACAGCCCTGGGCAACAAGGCAAAAATTTCTACAAAAGAAACTTAGGCACTGAGGCCAAGGTGTAAATTATTCTGCAAAACAAGTTTAGAAACTGGAAAAAAAAATTGGTGTTTGTGTGCTTGAGCTATCAGACATGTATTTAAATATATTACAAGATGGAAAAGTCACATTTTCTGACAAAGGATTTTTTAATTTAGAGAAAATTCATTTATACAAAAGAATTGCAGTGAATTAAACCATAGATTAAACAAAGAGAATATGTTTTGTTTCAATTTTGACATATCTTTTTTGACTGCACAGCATGAACTTACCAACTTCATTCCCCGCGGCATAAAGTTGACTAACCCGTTAGGTCACGGAATAATTGGTTATGCGCATGTAGTTGACTCTACTGCATGCATGCATACATGATCCAAAACTACGGGGACAAAAGACCTAGCAGTAGCCGTGGAAGCTGATGCACATTATGCTGGATGAGGCTGGCTGGCACCATACACCCTTACATGTACATGCTAGCCGCTTGCAGCAAATAATCATGTGGTACATGTACGGCGCTGCGGCACACCAGGTCTTCCAACTCGGCTAGCCTAGCCGCACATTCATGCATGCATGTGTCGTGAAGACGATCGTGTACTGGTAGACTGCAACACAACATACATTCATGTGAATGTGAAGTTAGAAAATTATGGAAAATAGAGGGTTTTTAGGGCACCACTGCCAGCCTGAGGAAGAATGGCCCTTACATTACAAAACTGGACTGCATTTACATGTACATGTATTTAACATGCACTTGGCATTCAAAAATGGCATGTGAATATTATGAGGACTACCCTCCAGTATGGCATTCTCAAGAGATGCAATTCTGATAGGATTTATATGCAAACAGTATGCAAATCTGGTTCCATGGGGAGCCTGTACATGTATTTCATAGAATAAAAACTACATGAAGGATAATTTTAGAAAGCATGTGAGAAATGCTGACCGAATGCTTAATGTCAACTGAGTTTTTTAGTTGGATTGAAAATGCCAACAACTTGATAATTAAAAGTTGATCGACCAATCACACAAGACTTGTGCAATCATCAGTAGTGGCATCCATCTAAACTCAGAAACTGTCCCTAAACTTACATGTCCCAACATCACTGCTGACCCAAACAATTTCATTATTTTTAAGAGAAAGACACAACAGCATAAAATCTTACTTCTAAACAGGATTCTCCCCAGGATTTTTCAAAACTGTTGGGGATTTCCATGTGGTTTACCAACTTTTTGCGAATCCATGGCGTGGGGTTCAGACCCCGCCCAAGGGCCCCGACAATTTTGGACTTTAGATGCTCTCAGCTGCATTTTAGAGCATTTCCTGGGTTTTTCAAGTACCTTTTCTCCGGAAAACATAACAAATTCAATATATTTTTTAAATTTTGGATAGGCCTATTAGTATTTCAACAAATGACCAGTTTCCATTTCTGGACCACTAATTAGGCCTGTAGGCACAAAGGAGTCATTTCCAAGTTTCAGACATGCAAGAACATGTAGTGGCTGTTTAATTAACGATATGAACACCTGTTTATTCAGTTTTAATTTTAATACATGTATCAACCTTTTCGTTTTCCTGATCAGACCTGAAACCATGAGCTCCATTCAGTTTGTAAGGCAAAAATATTAGCATATAAGGAATAAACAAATGTCATAAAAATATAAAATGATTTTGTCTTGATATAAAATAAACAACAAGGCTTTTCTTCTATATCGGCAAGAAAGAATACCCACTGCAGGTGGCTGCTTCATTTGGGTTTCCCTCAGCGTGGACTGCTGAAGTTATTGGCTTCAAAAAGAGCTTATCTTTGATTGAGATATGGTGATATGGCAACGAGAAATATTGTCCCCGTCATAGATGCCATTAATACTTTTATACAGGGCTACGGCTGCCGCCATGAAAAAAAAAAAACTTGTGTGGGATCGATGTTTTAAGTTCTGCGAATGGTGTAGTATAAAACTGTAACCTTTGTAAATGCAGCCCCAGTAGCGTATTGAGCACACGGCACAGAGAAAGCACGCCTGCGCATGGGTGCATGTACGACGCCCATGACGGAAGTTCAGATTTCATGCAACACCGGCCACGAGGAACGTTCGGTGCTGATGTACATGTACAGTGTGCAGTACAGTGTGGCTGCCGATGTGTGGTGCACAATGCATGTCCAGTACATGTACGGTGCACAGTACAGTGTGGCCACCGACGCGTTGTGCACAATGCATGTACAGTACGTGGAAAAATGCAGGATTACACTTTTTTCATCTAGATTTTCCGGACATGCAATCTGCATTATGTAAGAAAATTCTGAGCCATACTGTCATAATTATATTGTGCATATCGGGGATGGGTATCAGCCCGTTTTTTGCATATCGGGCAGAAGTAATTGTGTATTGGGCCCGATACGCAAGTTTGTACTTGGGGAGAGCCTTGCTAAATGTAAGTTCTAGCAACTGTATACAACACCATTTTTATCAGGTATTTTTATCAGGTCAGGTTTTTGTTTTCTGATTACTGAAGTGAAAGGAAAAATTACTGGCGGCCGTAGGCCTACACGTATGTCAATCATGGAACTTAGGCCTACCTAGAAAACTATGGGTCTGACGTCCGCCAGTAGTATGTAGAAGACAATTTGAGCTAGCCCCCTTTTTCCACTCTGCTTCCATGCTCCAACACCCACAAACCCCAGCGCCAGGGTTTCCCACTTCACCCACCTTGACCTTTGACCCCGGTGCTTCCACTTCACCGGTCCACAAACAAGTTTGACCTTGGTAAACA